AAACATCACTGACGACCCCCTCGGGCGCCTACTTAAAAGCGTATTTTTGAATTATACTTGGCTTTAAATAACCTACGAAATGTTGAAAAAACGAGACTAGAAATTACACAGTGCTCTATTTTTCTGAAAAATTAGCAAAAAACAATTTTAAGAGTAAGATTTTATAAACGGTTAATCTCATCAATACTACTACAGTTTTGTATTTTTATTAAGGTTCATAGAGGCACTGTAGAAATTTATTGGGTTATTAATGCCGACAAGATTTTTATAGCTGGTAATATTTTTTTTCAAAAAATCTAGTGCTGATAAAAAAATTTCCAAAGAATTATTGCTGGTATTAAAACCTATTTTTATATTTTCATCGGGTTTTGCACCCTTTTGGAGGTGTTAACTATAAACCCATAGCTGAGACTCTGACATGTGCTACTACCCCAGGTCAGGGTGGACCTACAAACACCAGCAATTAAAAGATGGTTCCACGCTCCTCAAAACCTAGTGATCAAATGCCTTGCTGCCGGATGTAGTTTACCGTCTTACCCAGGACGCGCTCCCTATTCTGAGAAGGTTAAAGAAGTAATCATGATGACAACTACTTAGAAGAAAAACAAAGGTGCAAAAGAGACCCGAAGAGAGGCAGTTTCTTTTTTTTTTCTTTTTTCTTCAATGGGCTGGACAATATAATGCATATCTGGTGTTTATCGTAGCGAACATGACGACGACCTTTCTCTATGTGATTGACCCGAAACGTAAACGGTAAAGACGTCAGACATTTTGTTTCTTTTGATTTCGTTTTGATTTCGTTTTGAAGGGAAACTTGCAAAAGAAACAACTTTCGCTATAATATCAAAAACAAGTAATAATAACAAAGAATTAGATTTTAGCAGAGTAGGAAAATAATATAGCACATATTTATATAATATTAAGCACAAAACCTCGATTCTTTAAATTTCTATCTAGAATCTAGAATTAGCGTTACACTAATGGGCAAATAGGTTTTGATGATCTTGTAGCGTTTTATGCGTTTTTATATACTTATACAAATATGAAAAATTTCTCAGAGTTAAGCCGTAGAAAAAGACAATATTTATAAATATAAATGACAATAGTAATAGTTGCTGACGACTTTTGTTTTTTTCCTTGAGAAAGTCTACATTAGACGACACGCGTCAGCAACAATTACAGTTTTCCTATTGTCATATATATATAAATGACAATAGGAAAACTGTAGTAGTTGCTGATGCGTTTCGTCCAATGTGGACTTTCTCAAGGCAAAAAACGAAATGAATTTATTTAAACAAAACAACTAATAATAACAAAAACAAAATGTCCTTAGCAACTGGAAGAATTTAGAGAACGCTACTTTCATACTGTTAACTGAAAATTACGTCAATTACTGTCACGTGTGGAGATATTGTTATTATCGCTGTGTTGACGGATTCAGCCATTTTCTTTTGATTTCACGATACTGTTGTATACGTTTGTTTGGGAGAGTAGTAATCCTGTTAAGAAAGGTGAAATAGGGAAAAAAACTTGGGCGTAGATTAATATTTAGGTAATATTCAATGGCAGCAATCTCTAGGATTTTCCTTCTGAGTGTGATATTTTCTTATTTTTTAGGAGTGTAGCATTTTTAAAATCAAAAATATATTGAGGTCTCGTTAATTCTCGTTGCCCCGAGAGATGACCTTAAGGGTCATTAATCGGCATAACACTCCGATGATCAAATAGGCTATGGAAAACGTCCATGTATTTTCGTAGGCAAAAAGTTTAATCTGTTTTCTTGCTTTGTTTTTTGTTTTTGTTGTATAGCATTAGAGACATCTAATTTTAACTTATTTTATGTTGTGCCGTTTCAGTACGTCAGCGATCATGGCTCTCCTCAACTTCCTTTCTTGCTTGTCCCTTTATTATTTTTCTCCCTCTTTTGAGGCCGTTGTTCTGCATTTACCCAAGCATCTATCTATCTATATATAAACTTCCGTTAGTCCATCTGTCACACCCTCTAAAATAGCCACATTGACCGATTGAAACGAAGTTTTAGGGAGACGTGTAAACAGGTAAACGTGTTGGGTACAAAGTACATTGGTTTTACTCGGGTGCATAGCATAGCATAATAAATTTTCATTAATTTTGGGGGGAAAAATTAAAAGTTTGTATTGATGCCATATATGGTCTGGAGCACCATCTATTTGTTTCAAGGCCCCTGATAAAATCCAAAGACAGATATGCAATGTAATTGGCCCTGATCTGGCATCTCGTCTGCAGCCGTTCTCTCACAGACGTGCCATCGCCTCACTCTGTCTTTTTTTATAAATACTTTCATGGTAACTGCTCCGATGGTTACCTGATTTCATGAATTTAAACGTTCAACTAGGCTGGCATCTCGCTCTCACCCTTTCACTGTCGAAACTGTTAAATGTAGCCGTCTCTTCTACACCAATAGCTTCATATCTAGCACCTCTCGCCTGTGGAACTTCCTCCCCTTTTCTTGTTTCCCTGATAGCTATAATCTCCAATTATTCAAATGTAATGTCAATCGACGTCTCCAGATGCTTTGACCTATCCCCTATCCTTTTCTTCATCCTTTCCTCTATCACTCCTATTTGCTCTCGCTCCAAATCTCTGTAACCCCTTGCGTGCTAGTCGCTTCCCGCCTTGCTTGGGGTGAAAGGCTTAAAATATATATATATATATATATATATAATCCTATTATCAGAAACATCTCGCTGTTAGAGAGGCCCTGTAGATTAAACATTTCTCTCCTACTTTCAACCTTTTCTTATTTAACAAAGGAAATGGAATAGAATTCTATTAAATTTTTTTCTTTAAATATAAAGATGATCTTTCCCTTATTTAACAATGAAAATGGAAATTTTTTTTAAATAGATCACTCCGTTCGCGCAACTTGCAAAACAACACAAAAATAAAATACAACGGTCAAAACATACGTAACAACACTGGAGGCAAAACACACTTGCAAATGGGTATAAAATGGGTATAAAATGGGTATAAAATGGGTATAAAACTGTCCGAAAGCGCTTCGGACAATAAAAGTTAAGAAAAATGTCTGTACGAGCTTGCTCCTACAAAACGGAAACCCGTAAGGATATTGTAAAAACTTAATCAAAAATTAATTAAATCTTCCTTGTCGGCCGTATTTAATGAAAGATGTTTGAAAGAAAGATTGCTGTCAATATATACATACATCCAGATAGATAGATAGATAGATAATTTTCATATTTAGGCAGCAATACTTCGTTTATGCATGTTTCATTAAAAACTACAGACAAGGTACTACGGTTAAGCTTTTTATTTAATTCTCTTGTGTTCGAACAAGAGCTTTCTTTTGTGGACAAATAGTGTGTAAAAACTGTGCAAATGTTTAATAGTTCCGAGCGCTTTCGGCTATACCTTTAGCCATTATCAAGAATGATTCAATTTTTCGGCTTAATTGAGTGTGTGCATTAAAGTGAATGTTTTAGTGTGTTGTAGAGATGTTTTTAATTTCTGAATACGGTTTTTTACAAGTGGATGAGGTTACTATATTTGTGTTTTCTACTAGTATGTTTCTAATGGAGTCTGGTAAATGTGTGTTTGTGTTTAAATGGGTTCTAATGGAGCTGTGATCAGATAGGTGTAATGTAAGACGTCTGGATAAGCATGTTGTTGTGTAACCGATGTAATTATTTATGAGTCCGGTTTGATCAGGAAAACAGTTCCTTAAAGGGCATTTGAACTAATTTAACTAATGTTCGTTCTTTGTAATTTTGACTTAACTGGTGTGTTGTTATTTTTGAGCATAAGGTTAGCTGTCTTAATTTTTTATAATAGATAATTAATTTGATTTTTTATTCGGGTCAATTGGAGTAGTGTATTAAGAAAAATGTCTGTACGAGCTTGCTCCTACAAAACGGAAACACGTAAGGATGTTGTTGTAAAAACTAAATTAAATCTTCCTTGTCGGTCGCCTTGCTTGGGGTTGAATGCCTAAAAAAACAATTAACCTACAAAATCCATCGACTATTTTAAAAACAATTTAATCAGCAATACCAAATAATATGATGATTTCAACACGCGTCAATGTGTTGCAAAAACATTTTAGTTTAGTCAAACTTGTTAAACAGGTTATTCGATTTTCTATCACGATTCTCATGCCTTTAATATATCGTGGAAGTGAAATGTAGCTGACCCGACTGCAATTCGAACTCGGCTCTCCGATTTCTCCATTACACCACCCGCATATCCACACATTTCAAACAAAGCTCACAAGAGAAACAAATCCAAAGTTATACCTTATTTCAAAACTAATCTTTTTTTAGATTATTTTTACAATAATTTTCATCTGTGCAAAACCTAAGAGCCACTCGATCTAGAGGGTTACAGAGTAAGAGTCAAAATTAATTAGGGATATGTGGAGAAGATAACTGTTAACCTTAGGCATGAACAGCTTAAGATTGTAGTGATCAGGGAAGCACCATCGTAGGAGTCGGTTCCGAGGAAGAAGCTGTTTGAGTGGAACGTACATCTCACCAGTGGAATACGAAGGGAATGGGGGTGCTTAGCTAAAATGGGCGTCGTATGGTGGGTCTTAGATTAGAAATGGTGGAACTAAAAAATGAATTTCGTTTGAACATTTTCCATGGGAATAGCGAGAGGCTTTTGGACACTGTCGAAACTGGAAAGGGAAGACTTGGTCGCTCCTGCCCATTTATGGTAAGTGTACGTCATTTTCAGCATGAGGAGTCTCCCGTAAAGGTCGATGATAGTTCGAGGAGACAAATTCTTACTGCAGCGGTACAGGGAAGCGAAAATTTTGTAGCATATTTAGCGACATGCACGGGCTTCACTTGAGGTTTGGTCTGAATTTAAGTCCGAATAGACATTCAAGGCTGGTGAGATAGATAAATAGATTGATAGATACATACATAAATATGAATACGTACAGATAGATATGAGTGGACTGAGCTATCAATCTGCACATATCGATCTGTGTATCTCAG